AATGACAATGCAGTTTGAATGATGCACCGAGTTTTGGTGCATGCAATACGAATGAATGGATGCAAGCATAAGGTATGCTAATTGAAATATGAATCTTAATCTAGCCATCGAAAGTGATTAAATAAAAGGGAGAAAGACGTGGGGTTGAAAGACATACACACACGCACGCACGCACACTTATTACAATATTACGCCTTCGCGAAGGAGGGACCGAATGAATAAGAGCTAAGCTAATCTAATCTAAACTAAGCGAATCTAATTAAGCTAATTAGACTAATTATTACAAATCAAATGAATAACTAGTTAAGCTAATTACTAATTATTGCAACACTTTAACTAACTAGCAAACTAATTAATTAATTTGAACACAAATGCATATGAACTAAGCATTAAAGACATTAAACTATGCTGCCACTGCTCTGCCTCAGGAAGTGGAAGATGCACATGCTCGATTTTCGCCCCGAAAAGACCTCCGTTTTGCTCTCGAAATTCTTTGTGTATAGGGTTGAGCATTTCTAGAACTTTTCTGCTTCACCTTACCAAATCTTTGCTGAGGTTTACATTAGTGGCCTGCCGGCCATGGATGGCTGCTGTCGGCCCTCTGCGGGCTATGGAGGTGGTCTGCCGGCCAGAAATGAGGCACTGCCGGCCATGGATGGTGCATTGCCGGCCACTGATGCATTGGATCACCATACTGCAACAGAGCACAAACAGAGCAAAAATGCGATTTTTCCAAGGGTTGTCTGCATACCTTGTCTCTCATTTTCATGAGGAAATCAAAGGAAGGACAAGATTTGGTTCACAAAACCACCAATTAAGCAATTTCATTGCATGATGGCTTGTAAAACCAATTGTGCAAGTTCAATAAATGCAAAAACAAGACTCAAATGGCCATCACCCTAGCATGCATGATCAAGGGCAATAGAGACCTAGGAAAATGGCACATTTCATCACTATTGAGTACGAAATGTCTCATTTGCCTTGTGTTCAAATTAACGTTCGATTTGAACACATGCAATGCAACACAAAGAATGCTTATCTTACCTCTTTTACTTGTCAAATTTGTTTACTCATTTTAATTACCAAATCATCATTTAATCCATTAAGTCCATTGGTGAGTGTCCTCTAATGAAAGGAGGGTTCAAACCACAAGTTGCTTTGGGCATGAAAAAGGCATTACACTGTTGGTAATGAACCCCTAAGAGATTAAACCATTAGGTGTAGTACCTCCATTTCACACTTAGGCAAACAAGTGGTTTGAAACCACTTTCAAAGCAAAAATAAAATCAAGAAAGGAGGGAGGTTGTAGAGATGATTAAGTGCTGAAATGAAGTAGAAAAAGCACTAAAACATGCAGCCAACTCAAACCAATGATGATTAAAGCCTTAAAACAACAAGCTTGTGCAAGAAACCTACACTACAACTATGCAAAACAAGACTGAAAAGACTTAACCAGCCCAAAACAGAGCTAAAACAGGTCAAAACAAAGCTTAAAACATGCTGGACTTGAGCTCCAAAAAGCTAAAACATTAAGCTAATAAATAAGGCTAACTAGGCATGCGAACAAGACACAAAGAGATGAGACTAACCCCTCCAATTTTGGACTTTAAAATGAGTTTTTTACCACTGAAAAACCTCTGAACTTCAGTGGTTAAAAGGTCCAAAAAAGTTGGTTTTAAAGTGATGGATAAAGGCACAAAAGCTTTACACACTAAGAAACAAGAAGGGTGAACAACCCCCTAACTAAAAAAGGGCTCAAACCACCATTTTTAAGCTACAAAAATAGTGCTTTTTACAGTTCAAAACCAGGCCAAAAACAGTCCAAAAGGATGGCAAAACAAGTATACAAAACAAGTATAAACAAGGCAAGTGTTATACCTTTGAAGCAAAGCAGAAATTGTCCAACAATCCAAGCCAAAACCACCTTCTAGAGCTCAAAGAAAGTCCCAAGTTACCTCAGCTCAAAGACTAGCAACTTTGGTTAAGGTAATGTATGTAAAAGTGTAGAGAAAACAGGCACTTAGGCACAAAATTGTAAGAGAGAGAGATAGAAATCTAGAGAGAGAGAAAATTTTATGTCTCAAAATTTTCTAACCCCTTCACATGAGAGAGACGGGTCCTATATATAGAAAAGCACCAATTTCTCTCCCAAACATCCAGCCAAACACGTGTAGGAAGATGCATGAATGTGTGCAACAGTTGGCACAAAATATCACAAAATATCTGCAGCAAGCAATGATGGTCGGCCGGCCATCAGTGGTGGCCGACAACGCTTCATTGATGGCCGGCAAAGGACAAGTGGTGGCCGGCAGCCTCCAAGGATGGCCGGCAAGCCATCAGGAACTTCAAGCTGAAAAGAGCCAGGCATGGTCCAAAGATGAGACAAAATGGATGCAGGGTTTGAAATGCTCAAACCTGTGGCATTCTGCTAGAGACTTCGAGCGCTTGGCGAGCAATCAGACTCGTCATCAGATGTACCTGCAAAAACATCCAAGTCTTAAAAGGCTGTAAAAAATGGGGTGTCTACAGTTGCCCCTCTTTGATAGAACTCAGAGTCATGAAATGACATGAGTGAACGTCAAAGCCCAGAGAGGACCAATTTTGACAAGGCCGTAAGACTTGGACAAACAATCAAAACAAAAAACAAATGGTTACGCTCACAGGCTACCTACGTATCCCTTTGCAAGGAATCAAACCAGCGTAGTTATGGGGCAAGATGCAAATGATATGCATGATGCAAGAACATAACTTATGGTCATGCAATGAGACTGTGCAATAAAACATTTAAATGCAAACGCAATGCAATGAAAATGCCACAGTTTAAACAAACTGAAATAGGACACATCAATCTCAATCATAAAAAGGAGTAAGCAAACATGCCACAAGTGAGAATTACGAGCCAAACCACATTTCATGTAGAAAGGATGTAAGAAAATTATGCAAACTTAACTACGCAACGCGCAGGAAAGACGAAGAGCGATCGGGCGTACCCTAGATGTCAAACAAGATCCTAATGTGTTTGCACACATGAGAAAGAAAAGGGGAGTGTGAACACCAGGATGCACCTGAATGTTTTTAACCGAAGGACGATAACCGAGGGAGGTGGTGAACATTAGGACACACTCAAATGTTTTTAATCGAAGGACGGTAACCGAAGGAAGTGGTGAACATCAGGACGCACTCACATATTTTTAACCGAATGATGGTAACTGAGGGAGGTGGTGAACATCAAGACGCACTTAAATGTTTTTAACCGAAGGATGGTAACTGAGGGAGGTGGTGAACATCAGGACGCACTCAAATGTTTTTAACCGAAGGACGGTAACCGAGAGAGGTGGTGAACATCAGGACGCACTCAAATGTTTTTAATAGAAGGACGGTAATTGAGGGAAGTGGTGAACATCAGGACACACTCAAATATTTTTAACCGAAGGACAGTAATCGAGGGAGGTGGTGAACATCAGGATGCATTCAAATGTTTTTAACCGAAGGACGGTAACTGAAGGAGGTGGTGAACATCAAGACGCACTCAAATGTTTTTAACCAAAGGACGATAACCGAGGGAGGTGGTGAACATTAGGATGCACTCAAATGTTTTTAACCGAAGGATGGTAATCGAGGGAGGTGGTGAACATCAAGACGCACTCAAATGTTTTTAATCGAAGGACAGTAACCGAGGGAGGTGGTGAACATCAGGACGCACTCAAATGTTTTTAACCAAAAGACGTAACTAAAGGAATGATCCTAACGCGTCTCACGAGCGAGGAGATGGAGTAAAATGATGTAACTTGAAGGGCACAAATGATTTTCCCTAGAACTCCTCTGAATGGACTGTACATACAATATCATTTGTTTGTGCTGGCTCTGTTGAATAAACCGTACATACAATATCGTGCCTTTGTACAAAATCGTGTTATGTAACGACAGTGCATTTTCTATGCATGAAACAAGAATGAAAGCATATTCTATGCATCAATAGAAAAGTGCATATTCTATGAAATAATGGAGAAGCGCATATTCTATGCAAGACAACAACTGAGATATAATGGCATGTTCTATGCGAATCAAACAACTTGAGAGCATATTCCATGCATGATTGGTAACAGGAGTATATTGTACACATGATTCAAAGACAAATGCATATATTTCATGCATGATTCAAGAGCGAAAGCAATAAGCATGTTCTATGCATAATGTAAGAGCGGAAGCACATTTTATGCAGCTAGAGTAAGAGCATGTTCTATGCGACAGATAAGCAGAATGCACGTTCCATGCAACAACAACAAAAGCATATTCATCAAAACCAATTCAAAAACAACTTCCGATTTACCTCTCAAAAAAATTACAATATGATAAAAAGGATACACCTTGCTTATGGCAATGAGTGATGAACATCGTGTACTAGAAACGCAGTTCTGAGCTTCCATAGAGGCATTCTGGACTCAATATTGAACAATCCCTTCAATTTTGAAATCCAATGACACAAAACAGAACCAGGGACATAGAGGAGACCTTTGGAAACCTGCCGGCCACAAGAAGGGGCCGCTAGCCACCTGCCAGCCACTGGTGTGCCTTGCCGGCCATCGATGGCAGTTCGGGGCAAAGCTGACTTTTCATGCATTGGCCTTTAAATACAAGCCACTAGGGCTCATTTCCTCACACCTCCTTGACCGAAAATGGTCTATCTCTCTCTCTCTCTCTCTCTCTCTCTAGGTGTTTTCCCTCTCCAGATTTGAGCCTTTTATGCGTTTTTTAATGCCCCACACAAACTTTATTTGCTAAATCCTCCTAGTTCTCTTCGCTTTGAACCGATTGGAATTTGATTTCGAAGCTTCTTTTCTCATTTCCACCATTCTAGGCTCATTCCCCTTGAGTTTCTCTTAAGTTCTGTGCACTTTTCTCGGCTTTGACTTTTTCCTTTATTTTCTCTCTCTTAGGGTTGACTTTTTCCAAGTTTACCCATTTTCTTCACTTTTCACCCATCTCACACCTATTTTCAGATGGCAGACGATGTTCCTTATGATGGGGCTCCTCCCGAGCTTCCCCCAGTAGACTTCGAGGCAGACATCGAGACCGAGCCAAAAACCGAGCTAGAGCCGTTACCATTGAGTGTACGACCTTTTGATCCAGCGAGGTATCATTCTCAAACACACATATTGCCCATTACCGGAAGCATCAAATGTTTTACTGATTTCGCTGACGACGCACCAGAGGACCTCCTGTTGAGGGAGCCAGAGTCTCATTTATCGGCCATTACTGTTGAGGTACGAACTCTGTTTCTGCCTTTAATTGTTTGCATTTCTTGCATTGCCTTCATTTGACTGTGTCTCATACACTGCCTTAATCTGATTACATTTCATGCATTGCCACAAGGTGAGTCTCGCGCCTTTAGGGGCAATGGTGCGACGACTGCTCGAGATTGGTATGACGAGCTCCCAATTGGAGTTCGTGACATTGTTGACAAGGCAGGCTTCGCCCTCTTCTACTCCAGCTTGACTCGGGTTACCGTGAGCTGTCCTCTCTTAGGAGCATTGGTGGAGAGGTGGTGGGACACCACTAACTCTTTCCACTTTTCCACCACATGGGAGATGACGATGACTCCTTACGACTTTGCCATGATCACCAGCTTAGGCGTAGGGAGTGATCTGATCCCTCTTGACCCAGATATAGAGGAGTGGAGGGCAGCCTGGCTCTAGCTGCTTGGGACACATCTACCGATATACTAGCCAGGCATGGTGCGATACACTTGGTTTGAGGAGCAGTTCAGGGGGACTGAGCCTGAGACGATAAAGGATACAGTGCAGTATGCCAGGGGCTTCCTGATGTTCATCTTCGATACCACTTGTTTTCAAACAGGTGGAACACCGTAGGCCTGTATTTGCTGAGTGCCTTGGTGACTTTTCCTCGAGTTCAGTTTTATGATTGGGGCAGAGCCGGCCTCACCATATTGTATGGATACATGAGTTCTTCCTCTTGTCAGCGAGGGAACTTAGTTGGAGGCCACAAGCGAGCCTGGGAGGTACATTTCTCTGTTCCCTTTTTTTATTTTACATTTTTTGCTCAGCATTTCTTGCTTTAAACCCGTTCAACACATGTGCTTTCTACTTTGCACTTTCTGCATCTGTTTATACTATGTGCTTTTGCTTTGCACTTTCTGCGTCTGTTTATACTGTGTTGATTACATACCTTTGCATTCTCCTTGCAGCTATGGATTTACACATACTTCCCGACTCTTGCCCCAGTGCCTGCAGATGAGATTCTATTGACGGTTCCCTTTTCTTGAGTATACGACGGCCAACTTCGCTGTAGGACTTGTGAGCCCTTCATGTTTTTCCTTGAGTACTTCGATACGGTAGTGACGCACGAGGTAACTCGAAACACAGTCATTTTTGCTTTACCGTTGTTTTGATTCATACATTAGTAACTGACAGTGACTAATAACCTGTTCATTTTCCATTTCAGATCACATGCCAGCCCTGGGCCGCGATACCAACAAAGCTTCGAGCCCAGTACTATATGGTTTAGGGTACCTTCCGCTATCATATTCTACTTGAGGACCCGATTTGCTGAGCCTGGTTCCTAGGCGAGCGCTTTGTGCACCAGACCATGGGCTTGCTTGCTCCGTTTATACCGATGGCACCGCCAGTGTCCATGAGAGCGACAGACAAGTTATCTACCGAAGAGGTGATCAAGTTCATGGTAGGCTTGGAGATAGAATATTTTTGTGTAGAGGGCGACTACGCAGCCTTTATCTAGACACACTTGATGCTGCCTCTGACCGGTGTTCGTGGGGATGAGAGCTCCTACAGCGAGAATGAGACGCAGAGTGACCCGGGAAAGCAGAGCCCGTAGCAGAGGGGCTCCCCAAACGAGGTAAGGGATCGGGTGGCTAGAGCTACCTACTGCACTCACATGTTGGCGGTATACTGGAGAGGCCTATCAGATTCCAATTGAGCCCGTAGCAGCTGGGCATAGATACACCAGAGCCAAGGATGCACCTCCGGTATGTACCACATTTTTAGTTTTCCCATCTCTTTCTGATATTTGTTTGTTCTGGACATTAATCATTCCCAATGCATTTGCAAGCACCCCCCGGATATACCGAGGATTTGCTTAAGCTACTAGCCTTATTCGAGGGCATGATATTGAGGAGGAAGGCACTGCTCGGCTTCCATGGCATTCAGGTAATTTCTTCAGTTTTCTTAAATTCTAGTCATCAAATTTTCACTGACACACTGAAACTGACATGAGAACTGAAACTTCCCCACACTGCACTGATACACTACATCTGAAATACTACATTTTCATACTGTATTCATACTCTATTCCTGACTTCAGCATATACTCATTCTGTCATATACTTGCATCTGATACGCATACTGCGGCTGACATATGACCACTGCCTTTTCAGGTCCCACCCATACTGGGTGCGCCAGCAGGAGCAGCACCAGGACTAGCAGTGTCTCCTCCGGCAGCAGGGAGAGAAAGACAGGCTCCAGCACACAGCCGAGGCCGAGCTAGGGGCACCCAAGCTGAGAGTGGCCTTTCAGAGCCTATTATGATCGATGACGACGCTGAGACTAGCGAGGCTGAGGAGGCAGTAAGTCAGCATTCAAAGTGATCAGAGAGTGGAGATGATGACGCTGGCTTGGGTTTTGAGAGTGGAGATGCTAATGTCGAGGAGGGCTTCGAGGTGGAGAGTGGAGGCGGCTATGGTTCAGACTCTGATCCAGATTCAGACAGTGGCATTGATGGAGACAGTGCTGCAGAGTCCGTCCCTCCGAGGAAAATGACGGAGAGGGCCTCTAGATCCTGAGATAACTGGCACTGATCTTTGTATTTTTGCTTAGTTTCTTTTGGTTTATAGTGTTAGCACATTGTACAACTTCAGACGAGTTTTATTTTCTTTAAAAACTTGTACTGTACCTTTTGTGAAAACAACCATGATCAGAATGAAAACCAAGCTTTTCTTTTTTGAAAGAATGTTGTATTTTGCATCATGAGCACTGCATTGCATGAAAATGAGATTGAATTTGACATTGAAAACCGAATACTTGTATTATCACAACAGTCTAAATTAGGTAATGAACCGACCAACAACTGACATATAAACAATGCACTATACAACTCGATAAGCAAAACAACTCGGTAAACAACCAGTACAACTCGATAAACAACAAAACAACAACTCGATAAGCACAAGCAAAGCAAGTAGACCTCAACAAACGTGCTAAAGCCTGAAAAGACTCAAAACAGGACTCTAAAACACACAAAACACATGCTTTCAGCACTTTCCAGCACAAAGAAGGACAGCAAGCTAGGGAAGAAGACTGCCGGCCATGAGGGGTGAATGCCGGCCACCTGCTGGCCATGAGGGTTGGCCTGCTGGCCATCAATGATGCCTTGTCGGTCATCAATGATGCCTTACTGGCCATCAATGTGCAGGACCTCCACATTGTTGACACATGGCTTCCACTCACTGCCTTATCTTCTACAAAAGGCTGAGCTTCGTGATTCCTTCATTTCAACTGCAAATTCTTCACAAATGGAGCCATTTTTCGCTGAAAAACTCTCCGATTGGATTGCAACTTTAGATGGCTCGAAAAAGGTGAATTTCTGGGGTTTCGGTATAAATGCACTATTCCCACTGAGTCGTTCTTCACTTTGTTTTCCATTTCTTCATGCCGCAGCTAGATGCTGGAACCCGATCACGCATGTCTTTAGCTTCGGGGGACAAGAGATATGCCCGTCAATCAAAGAATTTCAGGCGCTAATGGGATTTCGACGTGATGAGGAAATTCTGCCTCGGTCCCGTTTTGGTCACATCCAAGCTTTGGGAAGGATGTGTGGGCTCACTTTACACGATGCCCGATCCTTGGTTCGTAACGGAGAGCTAGACATCCCCAGTTTAATTCATCGATTTTTTGACGTCGGTGATTGAGGTGATCTTCTTTGGTGGGGTTTTCGACAACACGCCCTTTGTTTGTACATGCTAGCACATTTTCTCCGTGCCCCTAGTTCCGGCGAGTCTAGCATTCGGCTAGTTGAAGTGGCTCAAGGCTTGAAAGAGGGTAAGAGCTACATGGGCTTGGTACTGGCCGAGACTTTAATGGGCCTAGACGCCTTCCATCCGCGAGAGATGAACAAATTCGCAGGAAGTCCACTACTTCTTCAAGTAATGTTTCCCACCCTTTCTAGTATGTGTTTCTCACATCATTTGGCACTCATGCTCTGTTTTTCTTTCAAAACCTTTTTCTCACTTTTTCTCTTAGCACGCACCTCTTTATTATTTAATCTCTCTTTTCTTTCATCCCTCCCCAGATATGGCTCATGGATAGGTTAAAGGTAGTGGATTCATGCCTTGCATATTCAGCACGAGGCTGTTTCTTTCGCCAACGGCTAGTGGATTTCCCAAACGAGGGTTGGTGGTGCCATTAGATGTGCAGCAGGTCTGCTATTGACATTGCTTGGCGTTGCCTCTGGTTTGATCTGCCCGAGATGAGCTATAGTATGGCTCTACAACTTGGTATTCAGCTGATTAGCTTAACACACTGTGTATTCTACTTTCCGTTCCAGTTCAGGCGTCAGTTCGGACATGACCAGACTTGCCCAGAAGAGGGGGTAGAGTACCCGACTTCATTCCTAATCCGAGGTTCACAATTGGCTCGATATCCCACTGCGTGGAGGACAAGAGAGCTTCTGGCTTCTGCCCCTAGTTTCGACTGTGCACTTTCTAGCGAGTGCCTAACTTGGCTCGAAGATGAGGCACAAACCGGGCCCATGTTAGCATTAGAGGCTTCCACAAGCACAAGCAAGGGACGCAGGAACACCTGACTCATCTATACTCCAAGTTTATTGCTTTGATCTCACTTTTCAAGTTTTTTTTTTGAATGTAATAAAAGCAACTTTGACTTGTATCAAGAGTTGGAGAACTTTGTATTGAAATCAATGAAATTGAAATTGTGGGCACTGAAATTTTTTCTTTTGATTAAAAAATGGCCTGAGTTATAAAAAGATTAATTTGAACAAAATCAACTTTTATCAAAACTTTTCAAAACCATTTTCGATAAGGATCACAACTTGACATACATGGAATCTATCCTCAAGATGTACAACCCCGAATCCAAAAATGGAAAATTGCCCCTTGTTGGCACTGCTTAGCACTGTAGTCAGCTCTTCTCTCAGAGTAAGGATCACAACCGAACTTTTAGATAACGAATAGACAAGGATGCCTTGATCAAACACATGGACAAAGTTGATTTGGAGGTGTTTACGACCGGACTTCAGAATTAAGTTACCTACGTATCCCGAAGATGGGAATCAGGCCTTACGTAGTTCGGTTCGGGTTCACTCGGGTATTAACACTCTTCTTTTGCGCTCTAACTTTTGCCAAGGCTGCTATTTTTGGGTTTTCAACCTTATGAGCTCGATTTTTCTTTTTTCCAATTTTTTTGTGCTCTAACTTTTGCCTAGGTCGCCCTTCCGGGTTTTTGGCCTAGCAAGCCGCTCAGGGGTAATATTTCTTCAACTTGTCCATGTTGATTGGTTGGGAAAATTCTAGGCCATCCACGTCTATGAGAATAATAGCTCCACCTTGACCAAATGGTTTTGATGATGTAAGGGCCAGTCCAATTGGGTCTGAACTTGCCCCTTGGGTCATGGGTGGGAGCTCGGTTGTCTTTCAGTACCAAATCCCCTTCTTTAAGATTCTGAGACTTAACTTTCTTGTTAAAAGCCCTGGCAATCCTCCGTTGATAATCTTGAATATGGTACAGTGCTTTCAGCATTCTCTCATCGAATAGCATTAGTTCTTTGAACCTGCTCTGCTGCCAATCCACTTTCATTATCTAACACTCAGCCATAACCCGTGTAGACGCGCCCGCGTGGGGGCCTCGCTACAGTTCGGACTCGATTTGGTTTCACGGTTCTTAATCTTGAACCAAAGAGTCCAAATCCGGCAAATCGTTTTGAGAAACTGATTTTTTGAAAAGTAGTGCCAAACATGGACTGCTTTGCCAGATACAGAGTCGCCACCTAAATATTTTTTTTAAAATGGGGAAATTTAGGAAACCCTGACTCAGTGCCGAAGGCCACATGTCCGTCATCACCGGAGTTATCTCGGCTCAGGAGCTTGGGTACGATCGGGGAAGGTCAGCTATGAGCACCCCCTTTCGCCCGGTCCGAAGACCGGCCTCTACTAACCGTGATATTTGATTTTGAAAACGTTACGTGTTCTTATTCCGGTTATTAGCCTAGAATTACTATGTTATGCGTGCAGCAAACAAGTATAGACTAGATTGCCTAATTTGGAAATAAGCATTGCATATCCGTTTGTTTTTGAAAAGCGCTTTGGATTTTCCTACTCGCAAGTAGGCTAAAACACGGATTTCAATGAGTTTTTCCAACTCAAACAATCCAACCTTCACCCATAGGCATTCAAACAGTTTATCATATAAGCATTTAGTCGCATGGCAAGCCTACTGTCATGTTAACATTCACACGCATGCGAGATGCTAAAGCATAAATACTTACATCGTACTCCGTGCCAAAACAATAAACTAGTTAAGAAAACATGCGTGTCCTAGTTCATGTTAAATTGTCTAATGCAACACATACAGGATGCAATTAGATAGGCTCGGCTAATCTTAAACATGGCATTGAAATGCGATCAACTATCACATATTCAATTTTTGAATTGTATGATTAGATCAAGATAAATGATGTACAAATCCCAATAAATTAAAACACTCAACCTAAAATCATCAAACACTTACGAGAGTGATTTTAGTTTGTTTGTTTTTGAGAATAAACAATAAATTGACACAAACGATTTTTTACGTGGAAAAAACCACAATTGAAGAACCTTCAATTGTAATAAAAAACCACGGGCGAACCGAAGAGAGGATACCGAGACTTTTAATGGGCCTAGACGCCTTCCATCCGCGAGAGATGAACAAATTCGCAGGAAGTCCACTACTTCTTTCAAGTAATGTTTCCCACCCTTTCTAGTATGGTGTTTCTCACATCATTTGGCACTCATGCTCTGTTTTTCTTTCAAAACCTTTTTCTCACTTTTTCTTCTTAGCACGCACCTCTTTATTATTTAATCTCTCTTTTCTTTCATCCTCCCCAGATATGGCTCATGGATAGGTTTAAAGGTAGTGGATTCATGCCTGCATATTCAGCACGAGGCTGTTTCTTTCGCCACCGCTAGTGATTTCCCAAACGAGGGTTGGTGGTGCCATTAGATGTGCAGCAGGTCTGCTATTGACATTGCTTGGCGTTGCCTCTGGTTTGATCTGCCCGAGATGAGCATAGTTATGGCTCTACAACTTGGTATTCACTGATTAGCTTAAACACACTGTGTATTCTAACTTTCCGTTCCAGTTCAGGCGTCAGTTCGGACATGACCAGACTTGCCCGAAGAGGGGGTAGAGTACCCGACTTCATTCCAAATCCGAGGTTCACAATTGGCTCGATATCCCACTGCGTGGAGGACAAGAGAGCTTCTGGCTTCTGCCCCTAGTTTCGACTGTGCACTTTCTAGCGAGTGCCTAACTTGCTCGAAGATGAGGCACAAACCGGGCCCAATGTTAGCATTAGAGGCTTCCACAAGCACAAGCAAGGGACGCAGGAACACCTGACTCATTATACTCATATCCAAGTTTTATTGCTTTGATCTCACTTTTTCAAGTTTTTTTTTGAATGTAATAAAAGCAATTTGACTTGTATCAGAGTTGGAGAACTTTGTATTGAAATCAATGAAATTGAAATTGTGGGCACTGGAAATTTTTTCTTTTGATTAAAAAATGGCCTGAGTTATAAAAAAATTAATTTGAACAAAATCAACTTTATCAAACTTTTCAAAACCATTTTCGATAAGGATCACAACTTGACATACATGGAATCTATCCTCAAGATGTAC